ACTCGGGACGGGCTGTCCAAGGCCGTGACCTTCCAAAGGGCAGAGCCTGCCTTTAACTTAAGTCACATCTGAAGATGAGGAAGGGATGGGAATGGGTGCCCCTATTTCCTCCCACCAACACTACACCATTCACACAGAGTCCTTCACGTGGAACACGAAGAGATGTTTCTCTCTCTTAAAGGTCTCACTGCCAGTACGTCCTTCAAACTTATCCAATGTGCTCCACTTGAGGGTCCTTCCAGGTTCAGTGCAGGAAGAAAAGATTTCTCTAAATGGAAAGTTTAAGGTTGCCGAGGAAGGAGATGCTAGCCAGGTAAAGAGGAAAAGAAGATTTTATTAGCAAGCAGCAAGCGGACCTGCTGGGCTGAGCTGAAAAATGGTGTCAGCACCGAGAGGCAGCAGGGTGTCATTTCTTTAAGGATAGGACTGGCATCTGGTCTAGTTGAGGAAGACAGTGAAAACGTGCTACTCTGGATATAGCCTGCTCATGGGAATAGACTTGGAGAGACAGAAAACTTGGGCTAGGCGGGAAGCAGTTACAATGTTACATTCTAGGTGCAGCTTGCTCAGCCTGGTGGTGAGAACAGAGACTTAGGGAGATAGAAACTTAGAGAAATGAAACCGAAGGTTGGGGGCTTACAAAAAGTCAGGTTTTCAGTTCCAGGGACCTAAAAGAAAGGAGTGTTGAGAATACGTAGGAAATTCAGCATGGAGAACTGAGATACCCACTTCTTAGCCACATGGAACCAGAGACTCCTAGGAGACCCCAATCCCACAGTTATGCCCAAGTGGTCTTTTGACGGTGGTGCTGATGACACGAGACCAAGAAGTGACTCCAGGCAAGGACCTGGCAATGTGTGGCCTCCTAGCCATCCTCAGGGCAATCAGGTGGGTGTGATTTGGGCTGTGGGGAAGGCCTCAGCTCACAGGTATTTCTCCACCTTGTTGCAGAATCAGAAAAGGCACTACTAGTGGTTCTTTCCTGGATGCCTGCCAAGCATATCTTTTTTTAAAAAAAATAAATAAAAAGCCCTTTGAATTTTATTTTAGTCCATCAGTACTTTAGAGAAAGTTTTCAATGTGGCACTTTGCCTACATGAGGCCAAGACCAATATAGCATTGGACAAATGGGACAGGCTCATTTCAGTCTGAGCTCCACAGCATTGAAACCTTAGTAAAATAGGTTTGATTCCAGTTAAAAAAGAGTTGAGTGGATATTTAAAAGAGATGACATGTACAAAATGCTTGGCACCATGCCTGACAGAGAATAAATGGTTTTGCTGTTTATTAATGGTGTTTATTGTTAGGATGTTGATAATGACCCTGATTAAGAATCCAGGATGATGTTTGAGCAATATGGGTCTCAGCAGGATTGACATGACATCAATTAAGGGGAGAACAGAGACCAGAAAAGGAAGTCAAAATGCCAGCTTCGACCAGTTATCAGGTGTTCTTGGGGGCAAACCAGCTCCTCCATCTGCTATCTGAATCCCTCTTTCCCCTTTTAAGGCCTTATTTCTGTGCCTCCCCCCAGCTCAAGTGGCCAGGGCCCTGCACCGCAGTATTCCTTGGTGACATCCCATATTCTGATTATCCCTCCACGTACAACCCAAGTTCTCTGGCCAGGCTCTCATCTCTTCATTACACAGCTGTCTGCTAGAAACCAACTAATATAAAGATGGCATTAAAGATTCATGGAGGCTTCGTGATTGTCTCCCAGAAACATCACACTTGTGGTTAATATCCCTCAGGCTACTGGTAGGTATTTCTCCATCTATTATGGGTATAAAAGGGAGATGGTTTTAATCAGAGCTATTCTCAGGACTCTTTAAATCCAGTCCTCAAGGTCTTAACTTCTTTGCCTATGTACAGAGACAACTCTTAAAGCAAGTTGAGAGTATTCCCATATCTTAAGAAAGTTTAAAAATCTTTGGATTGGTTCGTGACTAAGCTACTATTATATTGAGATTTTTTGGTAACATCTTCGGGCTCAGTTTTCCCCGTCTGCAAAATGAGTATATAACATAAATCTTTTCTCTATCTCATAGACGTGTCTGACTTTATGTGAATAAGCACATGATAAGCCAGCATGTAGGGAGGACCAGAGAATGTATTTGTGTTGATTGGACATGAGAGCGGGAAGCAGGTAGCTTTAATATCACCATTAGTCATGACTCGAGCCAAGCTTAGCAGTTTTAGAACTGCTTAACAATCCTGACTGCATATTAGAATCAACTGGGAATTTTTCTTTAGATACCAATTCTTAGGCCTCTATCCCCAAAGATTCTGATCCAACTGATATGGAGTGGGATCTGAGCATCAGGATTTTTTAAAAAGCTTCGAAGGTAATCCTATTGTGCAGTCAAGACTAAGAACCACAGTATGAGAACAGCATAGATGATATTATACAAAGCAGGAGAAGAAATGGCATCATATTAGGTGGGTCTTTGTTGTGAGCTCTGTATGTTGGAAGGACTCGGCAACTAATGTTGTAGGGTTTCATACCATGGTTGTGGTGTAGGGGAAAAAACCGTTGGATAGAAGCCAGGAATCACAGGAATAATTGAATTGCGGGCTAAAGGAGACCTCAAAAATCACCTCCTTTTATATTCTTCTTCCTCGTTGCTGGGTGAGCACTGGCCATTCAGCTTATGTCTCTAGACCTCAGTTTCCCTGTCCATTCTATGGTTGATTAGGTACACTCAAGGGTGTCTTCCAGTTCTGTTATTCTATGATTCTAAGAGAGTTTTCCAGTGGACTCGGCAACTAATGTTGTAGGGTTTCATACCATGGTTGTGGTGTAGGGGAAAAAACCGTTGGATAGAAGCCAGGAATCACAGGAATAATTGAATTGCGGGCTAAAGGAGACCTCAAAAATCACCTCCTTTTATATTCTTCTTCCTCGTTGCTGGGTGAGCACTGGCCATTCAGCTTATGTCTCTGGACCTCAGTTTCCCTGTCCATTCTATGGTTGATTAGGTACACTCAAGGGTGTCTTCCAGTTCTGTTATTCTATGATTCTAAGAGAGTTTTCCAGCATCAGAGGAAATGGAAGTTACAGTTCCACATTCATGTAGATATTCCCTGGTCATCCCTGTCTAAATTTGCCCTGGGAGATCTTCTGAGCCACAGGCCCTCCAGCTCCAGCTCTCTCTGCTGCCAGTCAAATGCCAGTCTGGGCCCCTCGAGTGGCAGCTGGAGCTCCATCCTTGGGTCCTTCCTTCTCCCAGGCTTCTCCAGCAGGGTGAAAGATTTTGTGCAATTCTTGTAAACGCAGCCCTTTTTAATTGCAGGAGCAGCCCCCAAGTGTTCTCTTTGCTCCCTGGTGAGCACGTGGCCCGACAGCTGCTGGTATCTGCAAAGGAAGTGGTGGAATGTGGAAGGTTACGTGACGTTAGTGCACGTGCATCTTCCAGTCCTGCTCCCCAGGGAGCCCAGCCAACAGTCGCTGTGCCGCTGTGCTCCTTGTCTTCCCCCTCCCAGCAGCCTCGGGATGCCTCGCGGTCTTCTGCTTCACGCTTTTCTGAGAGGATGTGCCTGTGAGCAGAGCTTAAAAAGCTGGTCAAACAACAGCAACAGATGTTCAGTGCTCACATCCTACACAGCAGTCTCTGTACTAGGAATGCCACACTTGGATTCTCCAGGCCTCAGACTCTAAACAAAATCCACTGGAAGGGGATCCTCCCAGCCAATTCCCTAGTACAAATTGTCCTGACTGGTGCACACAATGTACTGGAAAACCAGCAAATCTGCCTGAAACTGAAGGGAAAAGTGCCCTGATATGTGCCATGCTCAAGGCTGCGAGGGAGAAGGAATTTGGTCGGAAAGAAGGCGAGGGGTTTTAAAGTGCACATTGCAGGCCTTTTAGGTACTCAGCATGTGAGTGGATAGAAGAAGGGGTAAGGGGAAGGTGGGGATGTGGCTGGAAAAAACACAGATTTAGTAGAGTCTTGTTTGTGGGAGGGCTTTGAGAGTAAGGTGGGCACTCCAGGGTCCAACAGGACACCTGACATCAGTCAGTCTCCAGGTACAGGTTGAGTTTCCCTTATCGGAAATGCTTGGGACCAGAAGGGTTTTGGATTTGTGATTTTCTTTCTTTCTTTCTTTCTTTTTTTTTTGGAATATTTGCAGCAATTGGCTGAGCATCCCTAATCTGAAAAGTCTAAATTCTTTGGGACCAGAAGGGTTTTGGATTTGTGATTTTCTTTCTTTCTTTCTTTCTTTTTTTTTTGGGAATATTTGCAGCAATTGGCTGAGCATCCCTAATCTGAAAAGTCTAAATTCTAAATGCTCCAATAAGCATTTCCTTTGAGCATCATGTCAGCGCTCAAAAAGTTTCCGATTTTAAAGCATTTTTCGACTTGGAATTTTCAGATTAGGGGTGCTCAACCTGTACTGCCTTCCAGAAACTGGCCCCTGGTCCAGGTAAGACCTGGAGCTACCCTGTCGTGCATCTCATGTAAACCCTTTCAGGGCAGTGAGGACAGTGGCATCAGACCCCAGATCTTCTTCCCTGGCACGTGAGGACCGAGGGCCTAGAAGAACTCTTTCTGTGTTTCCTCTGTATGGAGGGTGGCACAGGACCAAGTAGTGGCAACTTAAGCAAGCCAGATTTTCCTCAACCGTGCAGAGGAATTGACATTCCCAGGCTGCCCAGTGCTTCTGGAGCTGGAACAGCTGCCCTGCTGTCTCATAACACTGGTGGGAGGAATGGAACGAGAGATGTTGCCAGACCAGGAGGGGGCTGGGACTCAAACATGGCACTTCTACTCAGCCTGAGCTCTGGCTCCCAGACCAGCAAGGTCTTATAACATGGACCTCAAAACAGACAGACTTCCGGGCCTCCTCTTAGAAGAAATGTTCCCTTTGGAATTGTGGTGCCAGCCACTTATCCTCAGTGTGAGGAATCCGTGGGAGGAACCACAGATATTCATCAATGCAGATCAGATGTCCAATAGTATTTCCATGTTTGCTACTCTGTAACTAAAAAATGAGTAACCCCCAGGAAATCACATATTTTATTGCTTTTCTTCAGAATGTTCCAAACGAGTTTCCCACCCCCTCCCATCCCCCCAATCTTCTGCAAGCAGGCCTAAAAAAAGATGCTCTGTGTCATCCTTCCTCTCCAATCTGGTCCTCAGGGGGATGGGGGTGGTGGAGCAGGGCCTGAATAGCAAGACTGACACTCCAGATCTGTACCTTCACTCTATGGGGACTGAGCATGACCCCAGGTGCGGGGATTAACCAGAGTGAGGAAAACAAAGGGAAAAACAGGAATAGCAGAGGAGGCACCTGGTCTGGGGAAGGCTAAATTCTCACTGTGGGAACCAGAGATTTCAAACCACTAATTAAGTCAGGGGACTTCAAGGGTGCACATAAATTTACCGGAGCAATGTGGTGAAAGATGTAAAACTGGTACAGGTAATACTTGCTAAGAAACTGGGCAGTGGTCTCCAGAGCTGAAAGCACATTTGAGAATATCTATTTTTTTTTTTTTTCTGCTTTATTTAAACTAACTTTCTCCTTGGTTTTGCTTTCATAAATACAGTTTATTGCTTGTTTTGTCTTCATCTAATAACACGTTTAAGAACCCCTGGAGAATGTGCATCTCGGTGGGGGCGGCAGAATGGGGCTCTGGCTTCCCAGAATGGCAGCCCCCAAAACACAGCACTCCATGAGTCACACTCCAAAGCTCAATATCATTTTCTGCGCCTGTGTCTCAGAGATGCCCAGAGACCATCTGACAACGTGAATTGTTCCACACAGAAAACAAGAAATGAACGCCTCAGCCCGGGCTCTGGTTGGGGCCTCAAATGGGTCCTCAAATGTCTCTGCCGGACAAGGTCATCCAGCCACGGAAGGTTCCACCTCACTCTGCCTGACGCCATGGTGGAATAATGCAATCGCTTTGAATATGGCAACAGGCTGTCATAGATGTCCACGAATGTCCCTCCTCACCGTGATGTGTACCCTCAAATGTCCTTTCCCTCTTATGGAGTAATTTGCTTCTCCGTCTTCAGGTAGCATGAAAAAGGAGCAGAGTTGGGCTTCTGTCGAGCTGTCGCTGTGGCACTGTTGGAACCTCAAGCATCGCTCTTGGGCTGCCTCATCATCTTGACGAATTCCTTGACTTCCTCCTCCAAGGCCTTGTTCCTCCTTTCGACGTCCTCCCGGGAGCGCTCCACGTTGCGGAGGCTGATTTCCAAGGCTGCAAACTTCGTCTTCTCCTTCTCCAGCTCTTCGTTGAGCCTCACCACCTTAGCCCACACTTCATAATTTTCCTTCTCAAGGCTACGAAGAAAGAAAGGAAAGAAGGGAAGAACAAGATATTAATTCTAGGCTTTTCCTTCACCCTTGCTCACAACTTCCTTTGTCCATTTTCCTTTCCAAATCGTGAGATCCGTATCAAGCTGGACCTTTTATTTATATCTAAACCTGAAATCCCAGGGCATGTCTTATGTAACACCATCTTATTATTGCTAACGTTTTTCCTGTTGTTTTATGTTTTGTATCTTTAACCAGATAATAACAGAGTCTTTGGAAGGAGGGGCCACCTCCACTACACGCACAGCACCTTGTATCAGTCCTGCTCCACAGAAACTGTGGAAGCTCCAGCCATATTCCAGATTCCCCGAAGCCTTCGTCACATGAGTGCCTCTGCATCCTGCTCCAATGGAGAGCACAGACCAGAGCACTTTCTTATCAAGGGCCTCCTGGAGATCAAGATTTGAGAAGCAAGGGAAACTGCCCTTTGGGAGCAGCAGCCCTGGAGGTCCCACCTTCACTTCTGAATCCCACTCCGATTCCTGGATTCCCAGGGTTTTCATTGTTACTGGCCAAAATCCTAGTGTAGCCCCAGGTGCCCTCCTGCCAGGTGTGCTGAATTAGCCCTCAGGAGTGAGTGTACATGCGCCATTTGTAAGACAACGGATGGAATTTCAGTGCTGTCGGGAGACTGTGTGATTGGAGATTTGCTTCAGAATTTCATTCTGTGGGGTGCTGCCTCCCTGCTCCCCAAACAGCCTGCCCATTCTCATATGGAGACTTGAGCTCCCACCTGAGCCCAGGCCTCGGGTTCTATCTCCAAGGGCTCTGACCTATTCTGCGTGTAATGGCATCTCTTCAGAGCCTTGCCTACCCCTGCCTGTCTCTTCTTGAAGCTGAATTGGTCTCACTCCTTCTGACCTTCTCATTACAAATCTAGTCTTCCTCTCCAAGTTCGCCATTCCCCTTTGGCTCTGCGGGAACTCCCAAGTGAGACACTGCACTATATCTTGACCACTGATTCCAGTGAACAGGTAGAATCTGTGTGGGCTCAGGAGCCTGGCTGACCTAGGTTCAAATCCCAGCCCCACCAGTTATTAGTTGTGTGACCTTCAGGAATGTTTTTATACTTTCTGATCCCCTATTTCTCCTGTAAAATGGGGATATTTCTTATTTCACAGGACTGCTGTGGGGATCATATGAGAAGATGTCTCTGAAGCACAAAGCACAGGGCAGGCACAGCTGGACTGACTCTCCTGTAAAATGGGGATATTTCTTATTTCACAGGACTGCTGTGGGGATCATATGAGAAGACGTCTCTGAAGCACAAAGCACAGGGCAGGCACAGCTGGACTGACGATTCTCCCCCTCTGCCACGCACGGGAGGCTCCCCTGACAGGTGGATTCAGAGGACTCTATTCTGTTTAGGAGGTGCAGCCTCCTCTGTGGCAGCCACTTCTTTTCCTACTCTGCCAATGACACTCATGTTAGAGTGCAGCGTGAGCCTCTCTGGGGCTGCTTGGGTCACTACCAAGATGTCACAGAAGTAATTCTACAAATGATTGATTTTAGGTTCTTAGACAAAGGAGTTACATTTTGCTTCTAGAGGGGCAGCCCTCTGCAGGAACAAAGGATGAGAGCTCACAGAAGTCTTCCTTCCAGGTACCTGAGTCTGAATGGACTCAGAAGTATCCATGAATATGAAAGCCCCACCGATTCACATTTCACTCCCTTAGGACAAGTGTTCACATGGGCAAAGCCAGGTTGAGGGTGTCTCTCATGAAAGAGAATTTGCTGGCCCATCAGTACTGTAAAAAAGATTTCATGACAATACTTTACCTACCCAAGAGAAGAAACTGTGTCCAAGCATCTTAGGAATTTGCATGAGATTGTGGCAGTAGCTGCCTAACTGGCCTCTCACTTCTGAGGTTAAAACCATCCAGAAGCTTCCATCTTACTCAGGCTTTCCGGTGGCTGTGCTCTGGCCTCCTGTACTGCCCTCCTCTCCTCTCCTGCTGGTTACTTTGCCCCGCTCCAGCCGGCTGCCACTCTTTGTGCGCATGAGCAGGCCAGACCCTGCCCTCGCCTGGCCCCTGCACCTTTGTTTCTCTCTGCATAGCGTGCTTCTTCCCCGATGCATGGGCCCGACTATGCCTCATCTCCTCCAGGCCTTCATTCACACGCTGCCTCCTTAGGCTGCCTCTGACCACCCTACTTGACATTAAAATCTCCTTCTTGAACTCTCCATAGCATTTTCTACCATCTGATACAGCATATATTTTATTACATATTTGTATTGTCTGCCTGTCCCCACTAGAAGGAAAGCTCTATAAGCTCAGGGACTTGGTCTCTTTTGTTCAGTGCTGTTGCCCAACACCTGGGGTGGTGCCAGCGCAGAGAAGGTGCTCAAGAAACATTTTGCAGAATTGATGAATGACATTAATACGAAAAATGTTAAAGGTTCTTTATAATTCATTAAAGCATGTTGGTCCTTAGAGAATCACTATTTGGAAATTGTTGATTAAGCTATTTAAGCTAGATAAATTTTCATAAATCTAATCTAACACTTTGTCTTTGTGTCACTCCCTTTACCCTTTTCCTTATTGGGCCCCGACTGCTATAGGTTACTGTTTTCCCTAAATTGTAGTTCTATAATGTGACCTGTTTGGTAGATGAGCACAATCTCTCTTGCTTCTAAAGATGGAAGCCCAGTGCTCCTCTGTATGTGACTTACTTTTTAATCTGTTCCTCGTACGTTTGCTTCTGAGTCTCTATTTCCTTTTGTAGCTCCTGGACCATCCTCTGCAAAGAATCAAGTTCCTCTTCTCCACAGTTCTTTTTCCCAGGCCCAGTTGCAGAGTTTGGGCTGGCAGGAGTCTCTCCCTTGGAGTCACAGGTGTGGGAAGAAAGCGCACCCGCTTCGTGCCCAGGGGACTCTGGCAAGGCAGGGACATTATCATAGGTGGAAGTCCGCTGGGAGTCAGAAAGGTGGCGCAAATCTTGAGACACTGTTCTCCTGTGCCCTTCACTGGCTTTAGCCTCTGAGGAAGGCGACCAGAACTCATTTTTAAAGATCTCCACTTTGCTGCTGTTGGCGCCTTGAAAAGCTGATGCCAAGAAACATTTCCGGTTCGGGAGTGTTTGAGTCCTTTTCCGTGACTGCACCTTCCAATCTCCTGGGTTTTCCCTGGGGGCTTTGCTGCTGTCCTCTAGATAACTGTCGTTTGGCTGCTGTCCAGTGGGGCTAGTGGCATCAGAGTCGCTGGTCTAGAAAAAAATAGCCATGGATGTTACCTGGGTTTTTTTTCCCACCTGTGTGTCATGCTCCCCAGATAAGGATAAGGAGACTTGAAAGAAAATGTTTCCTGGTGAGAACCTAAGAAACTCTTAATTAGAAGACCACTTCTTTTTTTTTTTTTCCTTTTTGTCTTTTTTACTGACCGGTAACGGGATCGCAACCCTCGGTGTCGTGCCTGTATCGGGGACTGGCAACGGGATCGCAACCCTCGGTGTTGCTCCCGCACCACGCTCAGCCAGTGAGTGGGAACCGGTCTCTACATGGGATCCAAACCCTTGGCGGGAGAGCCACCACGCTCCCAAGCGGTGCACTCTCCAGTGCGCCACCGGGCTGGCCCAGAAGACCACTTCTTAATGTATCACGTTAGTTAATTATCTGTGTGGCATTTTTTCCAAAAAGGGTATTACACTTAAGGGAATTCACACTCTAGAGACAAAGTGTTGACTTAAATCAATTGTTTGTGTAAAAGAGTCCTAAAGTAGGATAGTTTTATAACCTTGGAATGGGAGGTGTTTCTAACTATGACTCAAAATCCAGAAGCCATAAACGAAAAGTTTGATAAATTCAACCTACATGGATTTCTATGACCAAAAAAATTTAAAATAGCAAAAATAAAACAAAGAAACAAATCACCACATGCTAAATCAAAAAACAAATGACAAACTGGCAGAAATATTTGCAATGCAGATTACAGACAAAAGGTCACTCTCCCTAACATATACAGTTCACAAAGATTGAGAAGAAAGAGACCAACAACCAATATAATTATGGGCAAAAGACAAGATCAGATAGTTCACAGAGGGAAAAATACAACTGGCCTTTACACACAAGAAGAGATGTTCAGAATCTCTCATAATACGAGAAACTCAAATTAAAATTACTGAAATACCAGTTCTCAACTATCAGATGGGCAAACCCCCAAAATGTAACACACTGTTGGTGAAACTATAGGGAAACAGGTTCTTTCATGCATTGCATGTAGAAGTATAAAATGACACACACTCTAATAATTTTTATCAAAATTACACATTCAAATCTCTTTACCCTCTGACCCAACAATCCCACTTCTGGAAGTTTATCCCAGAAATACATCTGCCTGAGTACAAAAGCAATATGGTCAAGGTTATTCACTGCAGACTTGTCTGTAGGGCAAAGGACTGAAAAAATGCTGCTCATCTACAGGGGCTGGTTAAGTAGATTATGGTACATGTACAGAACGGAAGACTATACACCTGCCAAAAACATGAGGTCATGTCTGGTAGTTGTTCATGTACTGACTTGAAAAAGTCTCCAGGTTATACCATTAAGTACAAAAATACAAGATACAGAGTAATGGGCAGCAGGGTGGAGAGAGAGAGATTTACACTCATCTTTTTTGTATTTGCATAAAGGAACACTGGAAGGATAAATAAGAAATTAATAAAGGCAGGAAGGGGTGTGGTGCATGGAAATAGGAGGGAGCAGGACTTCTCAATGTATACCTTTTTCTATCTTTTTGATTGAATGATGTTTGTATGTTATATATTTTAAAATTAAATTACAAAGAAAAAGAAGAGAGAGAGAATGAGCCCTAAACATAAAATCAGAAAACCAGGCTTCAAGCTCTCCCTTGAACCCTCCTAGCTAATCACCTGCTTCAGTAACCCTACCTGGGGTCAGAAGTACCTGGGTCCTGAAGTGAGAATTAGATCTATGCTGCAGACTTGGACCAGCTGGTCAACCTCTCTGAGCCTCTGCTCCTCAATTATAAAATATGGATGACAAATTCTGCCCGGCAATGCTATGATGAAGACTCCAGAGGTGATCTATTTAAATTTGCCAGCACAGTGCCTGCCCATAGCAAACAATAAAGAGCTGAAAACCATTAAATAAATATAACAATGGCTACTCTCAAAGACTGCAGGGATGATCTTATTACATGAAGTATGACCATTTCTAAATTTTAACTTAGTTTTAGAGTGTTAATAAGATGTGTTGCATCCGGACACACCTCACCTAAGAAAAACCACAACCACTACCACTTCTTGCCATTTTTTTTTTTTGTCATCTTCAGGATCAACCGTACTATAGGTAACGCTAGTTATCTGGTCAACCAGAAATCTTAAATTCATTTCCTGGCCTCACTTAAAGATCAAGCTGCTATATAAAGTTCACATGTTCTTTTTAAAAATATTTGTCCCTATAAATATATAAAAATATTTGACCTTTGTAAATGATTGCCCTCAAATTGTCTACATTTTGGAGTCAACAGAGTTTTTGGACATTGGGAACGTGAGCTCCAACCCTTCGGTACAAATGAGGGGGCTGACATTGCTGAGACGGCTTATCAGGGAATGAGAAATATTACACCAACATATCACATACTATGAGAAAGAAATCACGTTTCACGGGTTAGCAGGAAACCAGTTCTCTCTGGACTTCCACCCGGAATTTTCAACAACTCTCTCGAAAACATTTACAATGTGATATATATCTTGTCCATTAAACTTCCCTGCACTATGTTTGAAAGGGTTTCTGCTTTCAAGTGGGCTTCAGTGAGAACCCTCATCACTTAGTCACTGGGCAATTGGCACATGTGTCACTAGTCCCACCTCCAGGATGCCAATAGAGACTAGATTTTGAAAGAAGCCAGGCTTTCACGAGGTGTTCAAATGAATCTGTACCAGCTGTGCCTTATGCCTCAACATTATCCAAAACTCCCAAAATTACCACCTCAGAGCAGCTCTTACACAGAATGCTCTGAACTACAGGAAGAGTCTAATAGAAACAGGAAGGCTCTCTGCATCTTACCATGCTACTGAAACTGTCTGTCCTAGAAATCCTCCCAAAATTACCACCTCAGAGCAGCTCTTACACAGAATGCTCTGAACTACAGGAAGAGTCCAATAGAAACAGGAAGGCTCTCTGCATCTTACCATGCTACTGAAACTGTCTGTCCTAGAAATTGGGGGGTCTTCAGTGGCATCCCAGCCCACAGAGCTTCGAGCCACTGGAGGTTTCTTGGGGTCATTTTTCTGGGCAGAAGGTGACAGGGGTGCATCCTTGGACTTGGGGAAGAGGACTTCATGGTCTCTGATCATCATGGTCATCACTCTCTGGATCTGAGGGGTCCCTGAAAGAAAGAAGAAAGATTTGTAATTTGTAATTGCTTGGGTTAGGAGATTATGGCTAAAGGGATGGAATAAATGAAGGATATGGGAGTAGAGTGAAAGAGGGAGCTGTTAAGATTATTTTGAGCTTGTAGTCCACAGGATCAGTTTTGATCAGGAAAGTAGGCAATTTAGCAGGAGAGAAAACAAAGACATCTTTCTCTCCTGATGTGGACCTCAATATGACATCTGATTTCTTACCAGAAACTTAGCAAATATGTACCAGACCTACAGCCTCCCCACACCCATGGCAGTTCTCTATGCCAGGACTTTCACTCATTGAGCCTCAGAAGTCTTCTCTACATAGCTTTACAAGCAGTCTTCTTGTGAGCTGGCTTATAAAATTAACCCTGTTTGCTCTATCTGGCTAAGGGTATTTAGAAGTAATAAAAGACTAAGTTTAACACTAGCTAACTGCTTTCATGCTATCCTACTAATTGTGTGGTCTCAGGCAAATCCTTGACCTCTTTCTTCCATTGTGATCTGGAAAATGGACATAATTCTGGCCCTGCCAACCTCATGGGGCTACTATATAATTTAGCCAAGATAATCAGCTAAATATGCTTGGCAAACTACAGAGCAGTGCACGAAAGTCAGAGGTAGTGTTGTCACTTCCTCTCCACCTGTCTTCACCACAGGACCAGCCATACCTCTCATGATCACAGCAGGGTCTTCGACCTTCGACTTGATAAGATTCACACCAATCACAGTAGCCAGGTTTTCCACGCTCATCTTGTTAACGGTGCAGTTCAGCTGGATTTCATGCAGGAACCTGCAGGCAACCAAGAAATCCCTTAGTAAGAAACAGGAAGTTGCCAGGAGGAAAGACCTCAAAGTACCAGCAAGACCCTGAGGATGGATCCCAATTCTTCTGGGCTCAGGGATGGGACCAGCCTGCTCTGCCCACAAGAATTTAGCTTCATCCTGAAAGATTCAAGACAAAGAAAGGAAAAGAAACCAGGAGGGGCTGCCCAGCTGCCGGGGGTGGGGGTGGGGAATCACCTAAGCAGGAGGTAGGATCCAGTTCAGGGAGCTAACAGGAGACTAGAAGGACTAAAATGGGTATTAGACTGCCATCACTTTTATAATCTAGAAGCTGCAACAAATTATTTTTGAAAAATAAAAGACAAAATTCAGGTCAGTCTGGGATAGAGATTCAGGGTCCCAGCCCAACCAGATCTAAGTCAGGCCACATGCTAGATGTTGCCCCAGCAATGGCACAAAGCAAGGTCCTCCAGAAGGGCCAGACAAAGAGAAAAAGGGTGGCTTAAGTGAATACCTCCTGGGCGCTAAATTATGGTGCAGATTCAGGAAGATGGGAGCTAATTCTAGAAACATTGTAAAGCTTCTGGGTCCTCTTGCATTTCCCAGAACTCTGGGTAGCCCTGGGGCAGGCCTAAAGGAGGGAGTGTGTTCATTTTGTGTGCCGACTGGGATTTGGGGGATCCTTGAAATTGTCTTGTGGAAACAGAAAGCTACCTCAGTGCTATGTGAACAGAGTCGACCTTCCAAAGTTCTGACCCATGACCTCTGAGTTCACAGAGATAGTCTCCTTCTTCTAATGGGGGGATTCATTCTACATGACTGAAAACTGTAGGGTTGATACCAGGAGACGCTCACCTGCAGATGTAGCTCAGGAGACTATAGTTCTCACGAGGAAGGATGGAGAGCTGCTTCATCAACTCCTGCTGGGCCTGGGAAGAGAGTTTCAACACCAGAAAGTGAGCTTGCCCACTTGCCAGCAATGAGACCTGGGAATATAAGTGGTGTATCTGTGCAGAAAGACCTGTTCCTGTAGTTTTGTGGGTTTAAAAACAATTTTTTTATTTGAAAGTAACTATAAATTCTCAGAAAGTTGTAAAAAATAGTATATAGAAGGTCATAGGTTTTTGTACAGTGCATTTTTTTTATATGCCTGTCATTAAGCCACCAATTTTTTTATTTGAAAGTAACTATAAATTCTCAGAAAGTTGTAAAAAATAGTATATAGAAAGTCATAGGTTTTTGTACAGTGTATTTTTTTTATATGCCTGTCATCAAGCCAACCTACCACACCCCACCCTGAACCCTGAGCTACTTACTCTAAGGGAAGGACAACTTGATAACTAAACTCACACTAACTGTTTGCTTGATGAATGCTTGCGATGTAACAAATTCAATAGAAAATTGGACCATCATCAAATATCTCAGGATCGCCTTACAAGTAGTGAGAAAAGGAAGAGACTCCTGAGAAGGGTTTCGAGCACTGCAGCCTTGTTGAGACTTGCAGGGACACAAGCTGGAGGGCAGATGCGAGGTCAGACTGTGGAAGCTCTGTGGTGGCCATGAACTTCAGGCATGGTCATTTGAGGAATGCATGTGCCAGGGAGAGGAAGGACAGGGAGCTTTTCTTTGGTCTTTTCAGGCTCAGCTGTCTGCAGGGTCTGTTATCACCACCTGCAACATCACCTTTATGACAGTGTGCAAATTCGCCAGCAGGTTTTCTGCTTTTGTATGAATTGTTTCCAGACAGGCCTTATAGCCAACAATCACCACACTGGAGTCATTTTAATAAACCAACCAATGAACAAAAGAAACCCAACTGACAGCAATTTGACCATGGTCCATTTCTTTACTGGATCATTACATCCTGTGACGGCTGGGGTTTGCATCATCTACCTTTTGTTACTGAGGAAGCTCCAGTTTGATGAAATATCTCACCACAAGGTATGGGGCCCTCTGACACACCATTGCCTATGAGATTCGTGTTCAGGAAACCAATTGCTTTCTTCTAAAACAGGACAACTAACTCTAATGAGGGACAAACCTTTGCCTCATCCGCATTCATGAGCTGCCCGCAGAGCAGGAAGCCCTCGTACTGGCTCCAGGGGACCACTGGCTCCGGGAGGTCTCGCAGGTAGAGCTTTAACAGGGAGGCTACGGTGTGCACATCCGTGTTTCTGAAAGGGAATAAGTAACACTCTTTTAAGAGAAGTTCCAGAACTCTCACCTCTACCCTGGTGATCCAGTCAATAGCAGCCTAAGATCCAAAGGGGCGTTTTGCAGAGGCATAGGGTCTGATAAAGAAGAATCCAAGTCAAAACATTTTTGCTAATTCTCCCTTCTGGAATAAGAACCCCAAACACTTTTTCCTGTATCTTTTCTACCCTCAAAGGTGAGTTCAAGGCCCACTTTTTCATTAAACTTTCTCTAAAGATTTTAGTCTTTGCTTCTTTCTTTCTTCAAGTCACTTAATACCTCACAATTACCGTTTTCTAATTAGTCTCTAATTTTTCATGTGTTGACTCCTTTATACAGTTATCTTTGGTTCATCAATCTCTTTAATCATCCAGAATGCTTAAAATAGTTCTGGGATTCATTCATATGTTTACTTAATGATTCATTTCATCAATAAGCATTGAGAGAGCCTACTAGGTACAAGATATTTTGTCAAGCACTGGTACTTTAGCAGTGAACCCAAGGGACATAGAGGACCCCTGGCCTCATGGAGCCACAGAGCTGTGGGGACTCAAGTATTACCAGGTCATGACAATACCATATGGTTACCACCATGATATGGGAAGGCCAGGACTCAGGACTGTATGAAAGTGTGGAAAAGGGACACCCAAGCTAGAGTTGGGGAGACATAGGTGACTCCTCAGATAAGACCTGAAAAGTGGCGAAGAATCAAAACCCGGAGCAGGCAGCCTATGTGCCAGCCTGGAGGATGGGAGAGGAGACCCCAACGTGGGAACTGAGGCAGGTTCACATGCAGCCTGAATGAAAGACGCACAGGCTCTTTGGTTTAGCTTCTGCAGTTTACAGCAGGGCTCAGCAAACCATGTCCCAGGAACCACAGTGGGCCCCCCACCTGTGTTCGCACAGCCTGACAGCTAAGAATGACTTTTACGTTTTTAAATGGTTAGAGAGAAAAAACTCAAAAGAAGTAGAATATCTCATGACATGTGAAAATTATATGACATTCAAATTTCAGTATCCATCAATAAAGTTGTACTTATTTTTATTTTTTGTTCGTTGATTTTGTTTCATTTTGTTTGAAGAACTGGTATTGGAAACAATCTGACTTCATAGTTCCACATATTTCTGCTAAGTTATGTGGAGTGTTAAATAAAAACTCGAGGAGCCCATTGTTTTGGACTAAGTTTCTGCACTAGGCCCAGAAAGACCAAACTAAAATTCAAAATGATTTCTAGTTTCAATCTGATGGGGTCTGAAAAGATACTTGAAATGGTTTCAATTTTTAAAAATTTGTTGAGACTTGATTTGTGACTTAACATGCATTCTATCCTGGAGAGCGTTCCATGTGCTGGAGTCACCCCTGCTAAGTTCCACATCACCAGACTAAACTGAGTTGTGGTCTGACTTTATGAGAAATCAGGAGAGAGAAAAAACAGTCAATTTCCCAAACGGGCCAGTTTAAGTCTTCAATAGGCATAATAATGAAGTTTCCTGTGCTTTAATCCTTACACAAAAAGGTAGCCTGAAGTCAACTGATGTTAAATAAGCGGTTACTCTTCTTCCATCAATAAAGTTTTAGAAGAACACAGCTATGCTTATTTGTTTATTTATTGTCTGCTTTCTCATATAACAGCAGACTGTAGTAGTTGCGGCAAAGACCACACAACCTGCAAAGCCTGAATATTTAATATGTAGCCCATTAAGAAAAGTTTACTGACCCCTGGATTACAGGACTATTGCATTTATTCCACAGCTCTGCAGGAGAAAGTAAGTCCGAATTTACCATAACTTGAAGCTGTAATAACAGAAGAAATGTCAATTGAAGAAATGCCAGTTTAGAAATGTCAAGTGAAAAAGTGTTTGTGTATTTCATAGTGATAAAGCCTGGCATTCTTAGAAGGCAGCTCCGGTAGTCTCTTGAAAAGCTGTTATGTGGTAAGAGGTCCAGACAAGCAGAGTAGCTCCTTGGTTTCAGCGATGAGGAATACAGAATAGACTGGGTGGACTTGCTTCCTGGAGGAGGGAGGGGAAGGGTGGCTTTAGGCAGGAGGAGAGAAGGAGGCATTCGAGGCAGCAGAAGCAGGAACACCAGCCCTTGACTGCAAAGCTTGGTGTTGGTTTTTTGCATACCTTTTTTGTTTCTGTTTTTGACAGCCAGTTGTTGGAGGTGCCTTCTGAAGAGGCTCCCCCTTTCAGCTTGTGAACTCTCCACCTTGACAGGAGAACATGCTGGCACAGAACCCTGTCTAGCTCCATGGCTGCCCTCAGGAAATCTGGGGTGGGGACCATCCTCTCAACAAGAAGATTCTGAAAAATCCTTTCCTGCTGAGTCATTGCTTAAAAATACCCCTGGGAAAAGTGAGGCTGGGAAAAGTACTCTTGTCAAAATGCAATGAGAAGTTTTCAAGAAAGTGGCAGAAAGACAATCAGCTGACCATTGGCAGAAGCAGCATTCTCATAAAGTCCTGAAGTTGCATTCTCCTCATGTCCCTACATCACAGTCCACCCCGCTGCCTTTATCAGAATCCCAGGACTCCCCTTTCATTGGAGCCTCTCCCTCACCCCACATCCAATCAGTCTCCCAAATCTCCTCAATTCTGTTATGCCAAAGTCACGAGAATCCCTCTAAGCCCCTTTCCTTTCGCCACCCTGTTTCTGAAGGTCATTGGCTTTGGTCAGGATCCCACCCAGCCTCCTGTCTGGTCTCCCTGCCTCCAGCTTGCTAGTCACAGATGCACTGTCACTACCTGGCACAACCCCCAACGCTCAAAACACACCCACAAAGTGAATGAAGAAATAAAAAAACTTGGAAGGAGAAAAACAGCATAAATCATAAATTGAAAAACTGGATCTTTCAAAGAGAAATGATAACAATAGAAAAGACAACTGGATAGTTCCATCAGGAGAAATTAAGACGGCAAAAATATCCAACATTAGAAAAGAGGAAGAGGTTATAACCACAGATGTTATAGACACTTCAAAGTTATAATCCAAGAGCTCAATTAACTATATAAACCATTTCAGAACACTAAGATGAAAGCTTCCCACTTCACTTTACCAGTCAAAGAAAATGCTGACAAGCCATGCTCACTGCTTGGACTTTCTGACTCCTCATTTTTGTTTATTGGGTCTCAGTCTAAATGTTATTTTCTTGGGGACATCCCTAAGTCCACCAGACCATGTCAAAAGCCCCCTATTCTAAGTTCACAGTACTACCTATTTTTCATTGTTAACACCTAACACAATGGAACTTATACAGTTATTTCTGCAATATTTTTTGTTTTAATGTTGGTCCCCCATTGTACTAGGGCTGACTCGGATGTCATTCTTACTAAGTTTCCAGCATTATTTTTCTTGAGTTTGCTGTTCCTCCAACTCAATGGAACATCCTTAAATGATTTTTTCTTTTAAATCAAGGAGTAAGAGCATGTCAGGGGCCAGGTGCCTTCTGAGTTCAATGGCTGATCCCCCAGAGATACCCACAGCTCCTCCAATGGCTCTGTCAGCCCTTTCCTTGGAGTCCTGGTGCTTATAGTGTGGCATGTCTGTCTGTCCATTTCCACAGAAATATAGGTATCAGAAGTGTATCAGCTTTGTGGCCAAGCAGTATCCAGCCTG